GGATGGGTCCAGGGTGTCTGTGAAACGGAGGTTCAGGCCCCGGGGTGGGGGGTAGGAGGGGAGAGACCTCAAATCCTAGTGAGGAGAGTGTGAAGGTGTTGCTGCCCTGGTTTCCTGAGTTATGGGAGGGGGGGGGGGAAATGGGCCCGGGGTCTGATGGAGGAGGGAGGGGGAACCAGGACTTTGGGGTCTGAGGTGGGAGGGCTGGGCCTGGGGTCTGACAGAGGAGGGTTTGGGGACTGGACTCCTGGGTCTGAGGGAGGAGGGGCTGGGGGACTGGACTCCTGGGTCTGAGGGAGGAGGACTAGGGGCCTGGGCTCCTGGGTCCCAGGGAGGAGGGGCTGGGGGCCTGGACTCCTGGGTCTGAGGGAGGAGGGGCTGGGGGCCTGGACTCCTGGGTCTGAGGAAGGAGGCTGGGGGCCTGGGCTCCTGGGTCCCAGGGAGGAGGGGCTGGGGGCCTGGACTCCTGGGTCTGAGGAAGGAGGGGCTGGGGGCCTGGACTCCTGGGTCTGAGGGAGGAGAGCTGGGGGCCTGGGCTCCTAGGTCTGAGGGAGGAGGCTGGGGGCCTGGGCTCCTGGGTTTGTGGTGTTGGGGTTTCCTTGGGGTTTGCATGCTCCCAGCTACAGCCTCAAGGAGCAGCAGATCCTAGAAGAGAATTGGAAGGTCAGGGTTGGGAGAAAGTGGAGGGGATGCTTTGGGGAGGGAGGGAACATGAAATTATCTTCCCTGGGAGACATAGAGTCTCCAGAAGATTGACGCTAAGAGAATTCAAGGAAGGGAGGGGTTGAGGGAGAGAGAGAGGGTGGAAGGAGGCAGATGCGGGAGACCAAACTATGGAGACACAGTGGAGAGATGAACTTACACAGGCCCGGAAGGGCAGAGACTCGGGGTGAGAGGAAGGGCGGCTGTGGGTGGATGGACCATCAGGAGGAACAGAATTCGGTGAGTGGGAGAGAGCCGGGTTGCGGTTTGGCGGCTGGCGGTCCACGGGACTTCAGGTCAGGGTGATCCAGGCCACCGGGAACCAGCCAGCAGGCGAAAGGGGGAGGAGGCGGGGGTTGGGGGGGGTGGCTTAGGAGCCAGAGCGGGGTAGGTGCTATTGAACAACACCCACTTTTTCTTTCTTTTTTTAAAATATGTTCTTTATTGATTTCAGAGAGGAAGTGAGAGGGGGAGGGAGAGATGGAAACATCAATGAGCAGAGAGAATCATTGATCGGCTGCCTCCTGCACGCCCCCTACTGGGGATCGAGCCTGCAACCGGGGCATGTGCCCTTGACCGGAATAGGACCCAGGAGCCTTTAATCCGCAGGCCGACGCTCTATCCACTGAGCCACACGGGCCAGGGCAGCACCCACACTTTCAATTCCGCTCCCCAGGGCTGGTTAAGCTGGGCGTCCACTGCATCACGGGCCAGAAGGTCGCCATCAAGATCGTGAACCGGGAGAAGCTGTCGGAATCGGTGCTGATGAAGGTGTGTGTGTGTGTGTGTGTGTGTGTGTGTGTGTGTGTGTTTCGGGGAAGGGGGAGTCTTTGGGAACATGGGCGAGGGACACGGCTGTTCTGACCTCCATTCCTCTGTCACCATCACCATCCCCCCCCCCCCCCCAGGTGGAGCGGGAGATCGCCATCCTGAAGCTCATCGAACACCCACACGTCCTCAAGCTGCACGACGTCTACGAGAACAAGAAATATTTGTAGGTATTTATAGACACCCAGCCCCCCACGCGCCTCCCCCAGTTCCTAGGGCGGCACCTTTCGGAAACAAGGCCTGGAGGTCTCCAGGCTGGGCCGCCGAAGGCCCGGTCCGTTCCCTACCGCACAGGGACACCCCCCTGCACACACGTAGCCCTGACTGTCCCCACACTGACCTGGCTTGATGCTGGGGGTAGACAGGACTGCCAAGCCTGAGCCCCGAGTCGGGGGGCAGAGGCCGACCCAGCCCCCTTGCACGCCACCCCGACCCCGGCCCTCCTGAACTGCAGGGCACACTGTACTGACTGGGTAATCTGGATCCCCCAGCTAAGAGCAGATCCCCCCAATTGCTAAGGCCACGGGGCCCAGGGACTCCTGCCTCCTCCCAAACCCCCACTCTGTAGCTTTGGAGGCCCCCTTCGCCCCCCATGTGACTCTTAAGTGCTATGAGTGGACACCCCAACAGTGGGACTCCTTGCGAGTTCTGAGTCCCTATTTCAAAGTCAATTACCATCCCCAACCCCCCAGGAAGGCTGGGGGTGGGGTCCAGCTGTCCAGGCTTCAGACAATAGGCCTTTGTCTGGACTCTGGTGACCCAAGGGACAGCTGGGCTGCAGGGGAGAGGACAGCCCCGCTGACCCCGACACACAGTGTCCAGGAGGAACTGGCTCCCACACCCATCAGATGCTGGGGGGTGGGTTTCCCAGGCAGGAGGCTGCCGTGGCCCCAGAGGCTCATGGGAATTGTAGTCCTCGGCTTCCCCAGGTGTTGCTGTGGCGGCAGGTGCTATCCCTCCCACTCAATGGGAGTTCGGCTTCCCAGAGGAAGCTCAGCCTCCCAGGGTGTCTTAGAAATTGAGCTTTTGTTTTCCAGGGGTTGATGGGAGTTAGAGTTTTAACCTCCCAGCGCCTCATGGGATTTGGAGTCTTTAGAATCCAGGTGGCTGGTGGTCCCAGAGCCCTAGGGGAGTTGGGAGTTTTTTTCCCCCACCTCCCTGGGGCTGATGGGAGTTGTAGTTCTTTTCTTCGCAGAAGTTGACTTAGATTGGTGCACACTGCCATCCATCATTATTGCCAAGAATTAGTGAGAATTTGCGTTTCTTCATCCTAGAGAGTCTCTGGTAGTAAGAGGCATGGCTTCCCAGGGACTAAAGAGTTTATGGCCATGGAGCGGTCTTTATTTCCCAGAATCCTATCATAATTGGGGGGTCTCCGCCCTCCAGGTTCTAATCCAGTTGCCTTATCTCCTGAAACAACTGAGTCAAAGTGTTAATACTCCTGACGTTGACATAGGCGTGTCTGCTGCCCTGGGTTGATGGCAATTGAATTTTGGTTTCCCAAAGGCTGATGGGAACTAGGGTCTCTTCCTCTCAGGGGCTGATGGGAATTGGAGTCTCTTCCAAGGATTGATGGGAATTGGAAGCCCTTCCTCCCAGGGACCCATGGGAATTGGAGTCTTCTCTTCCTCCTCCTCCTCCTCCTCCTCCACCTCCTCCTCCTCCTCCTCCTTCCGGGGACTCATGGGAATTGGGGTTCTCTGCCTGCAGGGGCCAGTGGGATTGAGGGGACCAGGCTCTTTGGTTCTCCGCATGCCCCCTCCAGCCCTCCGCCCCCTCCGTGTCCCGCAGATACCTGGTTCTGGAGCATGTCTCTGGAGGTGAGCTGTTTGACTACCTGGTAAAAAAGGGGAGACTGACCCCCAAGGAGGCCCGGAAGTTCTTCCGCCAGATCGTGTCAGCGCTGGACTTCTGCCACAGCTATTCCATCTGGTGAGGGGCACAGCAACCATCTGCTTGCGGTGTCTAGGGATTCACCTTCCAGACCTTTCATAGAAACAGAATCCTGCTGGCCCTGGCTGGGGTGGGTGGCTCAGGGTCGTGGGTTCGATTTCCATCAAGGGCAGGTACCTGGGTTGCAGGTTCGGGCCCTGCATCATGGTCCGGCGGGTTTGGGTGGGAGGCAACTAATCGATATCTCTCTCACACTCTCTCTCCCCCCCCTCCCTTCCACTGTCTCTAAAAATCAATGGAAATCATATCCTCAGGTGAGGATTAACAACAAATAAAAGGAAAAGAAGCCCTAGCCAGTTTGGCTCAGTGGATAGAGTGTCTGCCTATGGACTGAAGGGTCCCGGGTTCGATTCCGGTGAAGGACACATACCTGGGTTGAAGGCTCCCCGCCCTGGTTGGGGGCATGAGGGAGGCAACCAATCGATGTGTCTCTCTCACATCAGTGTTTCCCTCTGCCTCTCCCTCTCCCTTCCACTCTCTCTAAAAATCAATAGAAAGAATATCCTCAGGTGAGGATGAAAAAGAAAAGAAATAGAATCCTACTGTAGGTGGCCTTTAGAGACTGGCTCCTTTCACTGAGCAAAACATGTTCAAGTGTCCTAGATGTTGTAGCCGGCGCCATCCTTTTTCATGGCTGAGTAATATTCCACTGTTTATCCACCACTGTGGATGGACATGTTGGTTGTTCTCCTTTGGGGCTGTGATGAATAGCATGGACTTCGTGTGTCCAGGTTTTGGCGTGTGCCTATGTTTTCAGCCCTCTTGGGTGCATTGCCCAGGAGGGGCATTGTTGGGTTATATGGTAACTGTTTAGCCTTTGAGGAGGTGCCAGACCATCTTCGAAACAGCTGCACCATCCCACATCCTCGCCAGCAGCCTCTGAGGGTTCCAGGCTCTCTACATCCTTGGCAACATCTGAACTTTTTAAATTTTTTTTATTTTTATTTTAATATATTTCTTTATTGCTCTCAGAGAGGAAGGGATAAGGAGAGAGAGATAGAAACATCAACGATGAGAGAGAATCATTGATCGGCTGCCTCCTGCACACCCCCTACTGGGGATCGAGCCTGCAACCCAGGCATGTCCCTTGGCCAGAATCGAACCTGGGACCCATCAGTCCACAGGCCAACACTCTATCCACTGAGCCAAGCCAGCTAGAGCAATCTGACTTTTTTTTTTTTTTAAATAACAGCTATATTGAGATATAATTCACATACTATAAAATCCACCTTTTTAAAATGTACAATTCAGTGGTTTTTATTATATTCAGAGTTGTACAATCTAACAATTACCACTATCTCACTTTTAGGATCTTTTCTTTTTCTTTCTTTCTTTTGCAAAAGACACACTCAGCCCTAGCTGGTTTGGCTCAGTGGATAGAGCCTGGACCTGCAGACTGAAAGGTCTAAGGTTTGTTTCTACCTCAGCTGCAGGCTCCTTCCCAGCCCGGGCCCTGGTCAGGGCTCGTGCGGGAGGCAACCAATTGATGTGTCTCTCTCACCTTGATATTTCTCTCTGTCTTTCTCTCTCTCTTCCACTCTCTCTAAAACATCACCTGACCTTTATTTTCTTTATTTTTTAAAAATATATTTTATTGATTTTTCACAGAGAGGAAGGGAGAGGGATAGAGAGTTAGAAACATCGATGAGAGAGAAACATCAATCAGCCGCCTCCTGCACACCCCCTCCTGGGGATGTACCCGCAACCAAGGTACATGCCCTTGACCGGAATCGAACCTGGGACCCTTCAGTCCGCAGGCCAACGCTCTGTCCCCTGAGCCAAACCGGTTAGGGCTATTTTCTTTTTTTTTTAATTGGTGCCCTTGACCGGGAATCGAACCTGGGACCCTTGAGTCTTAAGGCCGATGCTCTATCCACTGAACCAAACCAGTTAGGGCTCACCTGACCTTTTGAGAGTATCGTCTTAGTGGGTGTGATGTGGGACCTCCCTGTGGGGAGAACTTCTTCCCAGGCCTGTTTGGCGGTTGGTAGATCTTCTCACGAGAATCGTCCGTGCAGATCCTGTCCCGGTTTTTCATTGCGTTCTCTGTCTCTTTATGATTGAGCTGTGAGAGTTACTTATCCCAGGGACAAATCTGTGACCAGGTGTATTTTTTTTTCAAGTATTTTCTTCCCATCTGTGACATGCTTTTGCCTTTCTATAATAATGGTGTGTTTTTTGTTTGGTTTTTGTTTTTTAAATATGTTTTTATTGATTTCAGAGAGAGGAAGGGAGAGGGAGAGAGAGAGAGAAACATCAATGATGAGAGAGAATCACCTATGGGCAGCCTCTTGCATGCCCCCCACCAGAGATGGAGCCTGCAACCCCAGCATGTACCTGACCGGGAATCCAACTATGACCTCCTGGTTTGGGGTCAATGCTCAACCGCTGAGCCACACCAGCCAGGCTCCATAACACTGTTTCATGAAAAGCAAAGGTTTAGCCCTGGCCAGCGGGACCCAGGAACATCGTCTGGTGCACCTAAAGGTGGCAGGTTCGATCCCTGGCCAGGGCTGGTGCCAGAGGCAACTGATAGATGCTTCTCTCTGATCTCTCTCTCTCCCTCTCCCTTCCTCTCTCTAAAATCAATTTTTTTAAAATGGGAATAATCTTTTAAAAAAGCAACATTTTACAATGTGATGAACTCCAGCTTGTTGAATTTTTTTCCTTAGTAGTTGGTGGTTTTTCTGTCCTATCTGAGGCATCAGCTCAAGGTTGCTAAGGTTTCCTCCTGTGTGCTTCCAGGGTTGTATAGTTTTAGCTCTTGGGCATAGGCCTGGGATCCATTTCAAATTCCTGTTCGTGTCTGGTGGGAGGTAAGGGTTGAGGTGCATTTTTCGGCATATGAGCGCCCATATGTCCTTTACTCAAGGAATTGCCTTGTGCTCTCAAAACAAGATATTACAGCCCTGGCTGGTATAGTTCAGTGGTTACAGCGTCGGGCCGTGTATCAGCAGATCTCAGGTTCGATTCCGGTCAAGGGCATGGACCTGGGTTGCAGGTTCCAACCCTGGGCCCGGTTGGGGCACGTGCAGGAGGCAGCCGATGGATTTGTCTCTTTCACATCGATGTTTCTCTCTCTCTCTCCCCCTCCCCCCTCCTACTCTCTCTAAAAATCAATGGAAAAATATACTCAGGTGAGGATTAACAAAACCAAAACAAGATATTAAACAGGCGGCATTTTTAAAAAATATATATTTTATTGATTTTTTACAGAGAGGAAGGGAGAGGGATAGAGAGTTAGAAACATCGATGAGAGAGAAACATCGATCAGCTGCCTCCTGCACACCCCCTCCTGGGGATGTGCCCACAACCAAGGTACATGCCCTTGACCGGAATCGAACCCGGAACCCTTCAGTCCGCAGGCCGACGCTCTATCCACTGAGCCAAACCGGTTAGGGCAACAGGCGACATTTTTATGATTAATGACAGGGCAAAAAAGGATGCCTTCAGCTCAGCTTTCAACCTCATCTATTTGCACGCCTCCCTCTCTGGGATGGGGTTGGAGGTGAAGTGGAGGGCCTCAGCTGGGTGATAAAAGGCAGCCCATTTAAACTGTCAACACCTCCCTATTGACAAGACTGTCAAAACCCTGACATTAAAAACACTGACCTCTAGGGGGCGGTAGCAATACATGTAACAGCCAGTATGACCCAGTTACCTCTTTGAACTGAAACTGTGGAATCCTCGGGCCCCACCTTCCCTTGGACATTAAACCCTTCAATCCTGAGCCGTTTGGCCAGGGAGAAGAGAGGGAGTTTGTCCCAAGCCTGGGGTGGCAGTATTTCTTTTATTATTCAGTAGGGAAATAATTTTAATATTTAAAGAGCTAGCTCAATATCAGCCCTGCTTACCTAACCCAGAACACTCCCACTTCATACGTATTCAAATATTTGTGGGTAAAGTAATATGACCTCTGGGGTCACTCACAAAATAATCCAGTGGGAGAGGGAAAGCATATGGAGGGGTGTGGACGAGAGATTCGCCCTGAGTTCATAATGGGGAAGCCGGGGGATGGGGAGGCACAGGGGCTCCCCTATATTCTACCTACTTTGGGGCGTGCAGGAAATTGTCAATAATCAAGGTTTCCAGCCGGTTTGGCTCAGTGGATAGAGCGTCGGCCTGCAGACCGAAGGGTCCCGGGTTCGATTCAGGTCAAGGGCATGTACCTCGGTTGCAGGCTCCTCTCCGGACCAGGGCCCTGGTCGGGGCTCGTGCAGGAGGCAACCAATCGATGTGTTTCTCTCCCATCCATGTTTCTCTCTGTCGTCCCCTCTCTCTTCCACTCTCCCTAAAAATCAATGGAAAAATATTCTCGAGGGAGGATTAAAAACATATATAAAAATAAATTAAAAATAAAAATTATCTTTAATATATTTTTATTGATTTCAGAGCAGAAGAGAGAGAGAGATAGAAACATCAATGATGAGAGGGACTCATTGATTGGCTGCCTCCCGAACGCCCCCTACTGGGGATGGTGCCCGCAACCTGGCCATGCGCCACTGGCCAGAATCGAACCCGGGACCCTTCAGACCACAGGCCCAAGACACTCTATCCACTGAGCCAAACCACCTAGGGCTAAAAATTGTTTTTTAAAAAAACCCTCTCACTTCCTACATATTCAAATATTTGTAGGAAGAGTAATATGATATCTGGGGTCTCTCGCAAAAATAATTCAGTGGGAGAAGGATGTGAGGGTGTGGAGGGGAGATTCGCCCTGAGTTCATAAAGGGGAAGCCGGGGGATGGGACCTGCCTGAAATTGTCTATCATCCAGGCTGCCAGCCCCGCCCTCTCTGCGCTGAGCCCCGCCCCTTCTGAACCAAGTCCCGCCCCCTCTAAGCCCCACCTCCTCTGATCTGAGCCCCGCCCCTCTGTGCCGAGCCCCGCCCCTCTGAGCTGAGCCCCGCCCACCCGCCTGTCTCAGCCACAGAGACCTGAAGCCGGAGAACCTGCTGCTGGACGAGAAGAACAACATCCGCATCGCGGACTTCGGCATGGCGTCCCTGCAGGTGGGGGACAGCCTCCTGGAGACCAGCTGCGGGTGAGTCCGGCGGCCGCCTGGGCCCGGGGCGGGCTGAGACGCGGCCGAGGCTCACCCCCTCTCTCCCTCAGGTCCCCGCACTATGCGTGTCCGGAGGTGATTAAGGTGAGTGTGGAGCAGGTGGGGGGGTGGAGGGGGGGCTGGTGGAGATGGGTGTGATGGTCACGCGGTCCTGCTCCCTCCCGTCCAGGGGGAGAAGTACGACGGCCGCAGGGCGGACATGTGGAGCTGCGGGGTCATCCTCTTCGCCCTGCTGGTGGTAAGGCGCCCCTCCCCGCTCCTGCCCGGCTCCAGAGCAACCCCGCCTGGGGGAGCTCGGTTCCCGAAGCTCCAGCCTCACCCCAGGGTTTGTCCCCCTTTTTTTTTCTTTTAAGCTGGTGTCCATTTTTTAAATTTTTATTTTTTTAAATTAATTTCAGAGAGGAAGGGAGAGGGAGAGAGAGAGAGAAACATCAATGGTGAGAGGGAATCATGGATCAGCTGCCTCCTGCGCGCCCCCTACTGGGGATTGAGCCCGCCACCCGGGCTTGGGCCCTGACCGGGAATCGAATTGTGACCTCCTGGTCGCTCTCCCAAACATTTAACTGATATCAGGAAGGTGTGAGGGGTATTCGCCAGTTGACCGAGATCCCGGAGCTAACCGTTCAGCCCCAGAAGTGTGGGACGGCCCAGGGGGTCCCCGAGTGGGACGGGGCAGCCAGGAGCCCTTGGAGGGCTTGGGACAGCGGCTGGTCATCTGTCCCGCAGGGGGCTCTGCCCTTCGATGATGACAACCTCCGCCAGCTGCTGGAGAAGGTGAAACGGGGTGTCTTCCACATGCCCCACTTCATCCCGCCCGACTGCCAGAGCCTCCTGCGGGGCATGATCGAGGTGGAGCCCGAGAAGAGGCTCAGTGTGAGTTGGGGGGGCCGGGATGGGGACAGGGCAAGGGACAGTGGGTGATGAGGACAGAAACCCTAGGGCAATCTTTTTTTTAAATATATATATTTTTAATTTTTTAAAAATATATTTCTTTATTGATTTCAGAGAGGAAGGAAGAGGGAAAGAGAGAGAGAAACATCCATGATGAGAGAGAATCATTGATTGGCTGCCTCCTGCACACCCCCCCCCCCACCCCCACTGGGGATTGAGCCTGCAGCCCAGGCATGTGCCCTTGGCCACAATTGAACCCGGGACCCCTCAGTCCGCAGGCCGACGCTCTATCCACTGAGCCAAACCGGCTAGGGTTTTAATATTTTTTAAAAATATATTTTTATTGACTTCAGAAAGGAAGGGAGAGGGAGAGAGGGATGGAAACATCCATGAGGAGAGAGAATCCTGGATCGGCTGCCTCCTGCACGCCCCCCACTGGGGACTGAGCCCGCAACCCGGGCATGTGCCCCGACTGGGAATCGAACCCGGGACCTCCTGGCTCATAGCCACGTTGGTCGGGCTCCCTAGCGGTGTCCAGGACTGGCCTGTCCGCCCCTCGGGTGACAGCTGGGAGGGGAGTCCCTGGATGAGCCCGCAGTCACTCCAAAAAGGGGAGGAAAACCCCTTCGGGGTGCCACTGCGCACGCGGCCATGTAGCGAGGCAATACGCTCACTGGCCACTTGGGGGAGACATAAGCCATCATCCCGCCCTTGGTGATGGGGAGAGTAGGGGGCACCGTTAGGGACCCCCCAACCCCTCCCCGTCAACTTTCATGGCGTCCAACTGTGATCATATGACCTCAATTCTGCTTCTCTACAACCCCCCCCCCCAATCTCCCACAGCTGGAGCAAATCCAGAAACATCCTTGGTACCTGTGAGTATGGGGGGGCTGGACCCCTGGGTCCCTGGGGGAGGAAGGGAGAGGGGCCCGAATATCAAAGGCCTCCCAAGCAGGGGAGCCAGAGCCAGCTAGGGGGTGGGATGCCGCGGTTCCTCAATGAGGAGGGGCCAGGGTACCTGGACCCCCGGGTCCTAGGGGAGAAGACACGGGTGGAGGCGCTGGGGGTCCAGACCCCTGGGTCTGTGGGAGGGTGGGGGACAGGACTCCTGGGTTCCCCCTGAAAGGCGCAGACTGGGACCCAGGACCCCTGAGGGTTCGAGTCGGGGCTCCCTCTGCTGTTTCTCCCCGCCCAGGGGTGGGAAACATGAGCCGGACCCGTGCTTGGAGCCGACCCCTGGCCGCAGGGTGGCCATGCGGAGTCTGCCGTCCAACGGGGAGCTGGACCCCGACGTCCTGGAGAGCATGGCTTCGCTGGGCTGCTTCAGGGACCGGGAGCGGCTGCACCGCGAGCTGCGCAGCGAGGAGTAAGGCACCCCGCGGGCAGCACAGACCCGCGGCCCACGGAGGGTGGGGAACTGCCTTGGCTCCCGGGACTGCCGGCTGGGGGCGCGCCCAGCCTCGCGCATGCGCAGACTCACTCCCCTGGACCAGGTGGCTTAAAACTCCCGCGTGGACCTGTCCCGGAGGAACCACAAGGGGGCAGTAGGACCAGCAGGGAAAAGGCAGAATTGAAGCTGAAAAGCATTATTAATAGATACTGAGACAGATTTTTTTATTTTTTTAATATATTTTTATTGACTTCAGAGAGGAAGGGAGAGGAGAGAGAGAGAGAAATCTCAATGATGAGAGAGAATCATGGATTGGCTGCCTCCTGCACGCCCATGTGCCCTTGACCAGAATCAAACCCTGTTGCAGGCCTACGCTCTATCCACTGAGTCAAACCAGCCAGGGCTAGATTTATTATTTTTAAAAAATGTATTTTATTGTTTTGTTGTTTTTTTTTACAGAGAGGAGGGGAGAGGGACAGAGTTAAAAACATTGATGAGAGAGAAACATCAATCAGCTGCCTCCTGCACACTCCCTACTGGGTATGTGCCCGAAACCAAGGTACATGCCCTCGACCGGAATCGAACCTGCAACCCTTGAGTCCACAGACCGATGCTCTATCCACTGAGCCAAGGCAGCCAGGGCCAGATTTATTATTTTATTTAATGCCCTAATTTTATTTTATCATTACTTTTTGATCCTTACCCGAGGACATTTTTCCATTTATTTTTTAGAGAGAGTGGAAGGGAGGGAGAGAGACAGAGAGAAACATCAATGTAAGAGAAAAACATTGATTGGTTGCCTCCCGCACTGGCTGACTAGGGCCAGGGACGAGCCTGCAACCGAGGCACATGCCCTTGACTGGAATCGAACCCAGGACCCTTCAGTCCACAATCTGACACTCTATCCACTGAACCAAAATAGCTAAGGCTGTTGAGACAGATTTAGAGGGTGCCTCCCAAAGTACTTACCGAGAGTACATGTTCACATGTTAGATAATATTATTATTTTTGAGGAAAGTGAGACTGAGCTGTACACCAAGACAAAGGAACCCACCATGTTGATACCTAGGAAAATGGAACTGTACATAGAGATGCTGGGTGGACCGAGCTCCCGAGAGTCACAGCTGCAGGGAGGGGCTGAGACCACTTCTGGGACCTGACCTCTGACCCCAATCATCTCCTGCCCCCCACAGGGAGAACCAAGAAAAAATGATCTATTATCTGCTTTTGGATCGGAAGGAGCGGTACCCCAGCTGTGAGGACCAGGACCTGCCTCCCCGCAATGATGTTGGTGAGAAGGCAGGGCTGGGACTCCGGGCCCCAGATTCCCGAGGTGGGGCGGGGCTGCAGGACCTGAGCTGTCAAAGCCTCTCTCTACTCGGGCCTCAGTTTCCCGTTTGGACAAATCAGTCTTTTTATTTTTTTTTTAAATGCAAGCTCCTGAGCCTGACCCTAGAGATTCTTTTTAAAAAAAATAATATATTTTATTGATTTCAGAGAGGAAGAGAGAGAGAGAAACATCGATGATGAGAGAATCATTGATTGGCTGCCTCCTGCACGCCCCCTACTGGGGATTGAGCCTGCTACCCTGGCATGTGCCTTTGACCGGAATTGAACCCAGGACCCTTCAGTCCGCAGGCCGATGTTCTATCCACTGAACCAAAGTATTTAGGGCACAAATCGGTCTTTCGATCTCCCCCAGACCCCCCTCGGAAGCGAGTGGACTCCCCCATGCTGAGCCGGCACGGGAAACGGCGGCCAGAGCGGAAGTCCATGGAAGTCCTGAGCATCACGGATGCGGGCGGCGGCGGCTCCCCGGTGCCCACCCGGCGGGCCCTGGAGATGGCCCAGCACAGTCAGAGGTGGGAACCCTGCCCCCGCCGTGGGACCCCCAGTCCTGGGTGGGAAGAGAGGTCAAGGTTTTAACCCCAGCGCCACCCTCCAAGGTGCTGTGTGATTGATTGGGCCGAGTCACCTGCCCTCTCTGGGCCTCGGTTCCTTATCTTGAAGGAGTGTGGAAGGGAGAGAACCGCTGAGCCTTTTGAAACCGTTCCCTCCTGATTTTTAACAATTTATCCTGGAAACAGATCCCGTAGCGTCAGTGGAGCCTCCACCGGCCTGTCCTCCAGCCCTCTGAGCAGTCCGCGGGTAAGGCCAGACCCCAGTGAAGGGAGGAGGGGTAAGGGGGTGAAGACCCGGTGGAGCAAAGATCAAGCAGCAGGAACTACAATCGCATCAAGTCTAGAGACATCTGTTGCCTCCTTGTCCCCAAAGGGCTAAAGACCCAAGACCTCATTAATATTTTATTTTATTTTTTTCTCATTAGTATTTTAGTACATTCATTGGCCACTTGCACCTTCATAGGGTTGGGTTTTTTCAGGGTCCCAGAAGGGTTCCTTTACTCATTTAACAGAAGCTCATTGAGCGCCTACTGTGCACCAGTCACTGCTGGGTTTACAGCGGTGAACAGGACAGGAAAAAAATCCTTGCTTCCCTAACATGGGGGGGGGGGGGGGGGATAATAGGACTACAAGGTCCAGCATGCATCGGGCCCTCCTGCCTGAGTCTGTGTGAGTGGGGCACCTAGAGCCTACTGGGAGTTGTAGTCCGGCCTCACCCTCTTCCTCTCCTTCGCAGAGTCCGGTCTTTTCCTTCTCACCGGAGCCTGGGGCTGGAGATGAGGCTCGGGGAGGAGGCTCCCCGACTTCCAAAACGCAGACGCTGCCTTCTCGAGGCCCCAGGGGTGGGGGCGCCGGGGAGCAGCCCCCACCCCCCAGTGCCCGCTCCACTCCCCTGCCTGGACCCCCAGGCTCCCCACGTTCCTCCGGGGGGACCCCCTTGCACTCGCCTCTGCACACTCCCCGGGCCAGCCCCACCGGGACCCCGGGGACGACGCCGCCTCCAAGCCCAGGCGGTGGTGTCGGGGGAGCCGCCTGGAGGAGTCGTCTCAACTCCATCCGCAACAGCTTCCTGGGCTCCCCTCGTTTCCACCGGCGCAAGATGCAGGGTACGGGGTCCCTGGTGGCGCAGGGGCCGGGGGGCAGACTCCTGAATCCTAATGGAGGAAGGCGACCTGGAGCTAACATCTGGGTCCCGGGAGCAAGGGGCTGGGGCCCGGATTCCCACATTCTGGGGTGAGATGGGCTGAGCAGAGATGCGAGCATAGGGTAGAGGAAGTGGGCCCGCCCCCTCTAAAAGACACGCCTACTCGGTGCTCTGGATCACCTTCCCATTGGCTCATGGCAAGCAAGTCACACCCACAGGGGGCGTGGCCTATTGGACCAGGCACCATCCCTAGAAGGAATATTAGGCTGCATGCCATTTGGGGTTTGGCTCCTGGGCGGGGCGAATGGACACTGGGTCTGGACGCTCTGATTGTGCTGCGCACGAGGATGGTGGACAAGTGTCGACCATGCTCTCCCCTCCCCAGTGCCCACCGCCGAGGAGATGTCCAGTTTGACGCCGGAGTCCTCTCCAGAGTGAGTGAGACGGGGATGGGAAGGGATGGAGGGGGCTTTTCATGTCCTCAGCCCCCTCCTGACCCTCATCCAACCATCCCCTCCTACTCAGGCTGGCAAAACGCTCCTGGTTCGGGAACTTCATCTCCTTGGACAAAGAAGAACAAATTTTTCTCGTGCTAAAGGACAAACCTCTCAGTAGCATCAAAGCGGACATCGTCCATGCCTTCCTGTCGGTGAGGGGCCTGGGTCCCCACGCACGCGCGCATGCACCCACGCTGGCCACCTCAGAACCACAGCAGCCCCTGGGGTTCACCACCTTGGCACTGGCCTGACTCCTCCCTGGGGCTCATGGGATTTGTAGTTTTTCAGCCAGAGTTGGGTTTGGTCATTGTGGGGTCAGGGAGGCAGGAGAGGCTTGTGTCCTGGGGCCTGGAATAGGATTGTGAGTTACAATTGTCCACATATCAGTGTCCCCTGAGGACTGGTGAGTTGACATTCCCCTATTATTACGTTAGGAATCAGTCGCTCATTCATCCCTATACAACTTATTCATGGTAGGATGGGAAACTACAAATCCCAGCAGGCAATGGGGCATTCTGATGCCGTTCCTTATACTACTCTTGCTCCAGTGTCTGATGGGACTTGTAGTTCCTTGGGCAAAGGCCGCTGTAGGGGTGGTTATCCATTCCCTGCAACCAGGTCCCTGGGGTCACCTCCTCCTTGTGCTCCTCCCGTCTCTCTCAGATCCCCAGCCTGAGTCACAGCGTGCTGTCACAGACCAGCTTCAGGGCCGAGTACAAGGCCAGCGGTGGCCCCTCCGTCTTCCAGAAGCCCGTCCGCTTCCAGGTGGACATCAGCTCCTCTGAGGGGCCAGAGCCCTCCCCGCGACGGGATGGCGGCGGTGGCGGAGGTGGCGTCTACTCTGTCACCTTTACTCTCCTCTCCGGTACGTTTCCCTGGACGAGACTGCCCCCACCCAGCCTGGTGTTTGGGATGCTCACGACAGCTGAGATAGGATAGCAGCCCAGGAGGGCGCCATGAGGGAGGAGGAGACAGTGCTCAGCTGGGCCTGACTGTGTGAGCCCCTCCTCACTCAGATCCCCACATCCTCTCCTTCCCGCCCCGCCTTTCTTTAACATGTTTACTGATTTTAGAGAGAGAGGAAGGGAGAGGGAGAAAAACATCGATGTGAGAGAGAAACATCGATTGGCTGTCTCCTGCACTACCCCTCCTGGGGATCAAGCCTCCAACCTGGGCATGTGCCCTGACCAGGAATTGAACTGGTGATCATTTGGTGCATGGGGCGATGCTCAACCAACTGAGCCACCCTGGCCAGCCCTTTTTCTTTCTTTCTTTCTTTTATTTTTTAAATCTATTTTTATTGATTTCAGAGAGGAAGGGAGAGGGAGAGAGCGATAGAAACATCAATAATGAGAGAGAATCATGGATCGGCTGCTCCTGCACGCCCCCTACTGGGGATCGAGCCCGAAACGCGAGCATGTGCCCTTGACCGGAATCGAACCCGGGACCTTCCAGTCCGCAGTCCAATGCTCCATCCACTGAGCCAAACCAGCCAGGGCTCCTTTCCCCTTTTCTCATCCACACTTAACCTGGTAACATATTGTTTACAACGTGCCTAGTGCTTAATCGCACTATTTCCTTCGATGGGTTAGTAATCACCCACTTGACAGAGAGGAAAACTGAGGTCTAAAGAGGTACATGGATTTGACCGGAGTCACACTGTACACCGTGACAGAGCTGGGCTCAACGAAGGCCTCCTGACCTCCCAGCACAGAGCTCTTCCTACGACTTTAAGATTGAGGAGCAAGGACATGGGGTGCTTCTTTCAGGCCATTCCCACACCCAGAGCAGACATCACCAATCAATCACAGCAATTCATCCCTGAGCTCAGCCACAGCCTCACACTCCAGGCAGCCTTGACCAATCAAGAGCTGGCACAAGAACCCCGGCCAGTGTGGCTCAGTTGGTTGAGCGTCATCCCAGGCACGGAAAGGTCACCAGTTCAATTCCCAGTCAGGGCACATGCCCAGGTTGTGGGTTCAATAGGAGGCAACCGATTGATGTATCTACCACATATCGATGTTTCTCTCTCTCCCTCTCCCTTCCTCTTTCTAAAATAAATAAAAACTTTTTTTTAAAGAGTTGGCACAAGCCCTGGCTGGTTTGGCTCAGTGAATAGAGCGTCAGCCTGTGGACTGAAGGGTCCTGGGTTCGATTCCGGTCAAGGGCACATACCCCGGTTGTGAGCTCAGTCCCCAGTGTGGGGCATGCAAGAGGCAGCTGATCAATGATTCTCTCTCATCATTGATGTTTTTTTTTCCTCTCTCTCTTTCTCCCTCTTCCTTCCTCTCTGAAAACAATAAAAATATTTTTTAAAAAAAGAGTTGGCACAAGAAATGAGAACCACAGAAATGCCTTGTTTCCAATCCTACTTAGTTCCTGAGTCCTGAGAACAAGAGTTTGGAGGATGAGGGATACCTCTCTTTGCTGTCCTTGTCACCGTTTTAACATGTCACAATGGGAGATGAGCTTGCTCCCAGTTTCCAAACCGGGCTGCCGTGGAACACTGGGGCGTTGCATCACCAAAATGAATTATGGCACTTTTTTTTCTCTTCCTTAAAAACTAACAGGCAGCCCTGGCCGCTGTGGCTCAGTTGGTTGAGCATTGTCCTGTGCACCAAAAGGTCACCGGTTTGATTCCCAGTCAGGGCACATGCCTGGGTTGCAAGAGGCAGTGATCGATGTTTGGCCTTCACGTGGATGCTTCTCTCTTCCCCTCTCTCTAAAAACCAGTTTAAAATCTTTTAAATAAAAAAGACAAAAAAAAAAAGACGAATTAGGCAGCAGTTTCTCAATTTTAAGATTTTTTTTTTCTTCCCAGTGATTGTTCTTACATTTCTGGCTCTCATGGCCTCCAGCAGAAACTGACAAGGAATAAAACCCCATTTAAATAGAAAACAGCCCTGACCGGTTTGGCTCGGTGGATAGAGCATCGGCCTGTGGACTGAAGGGTCCCAGGTTCGATTCCGGTCAAGGGCATGTACCTTGGTTGCGGGCACATCCCCAGTGGTGGGTGTGCAGGAGGCAGCTGATCGATGTTTCTCTCTCATCGATGTTTCTGACTCTCTATCTCTCTCCCTTCCTCTCTGTAAAAAATCAATAAAATATATTTTAAAAAATAAATAGAAAACAGCACCCATGGTTACTGTAAGTCCAACTTTTCTTAGCTCCATTTGCAAACCAGGATCGGTGCCTGGCCCCAGGAGAGGAGCTGGAACTGAACCAAGAGGAGGAGAGTCCTTCCCTGGGTGGAGGGACCGGCTTCCACAGGATGGGAGGGTCTTCCCCGGCCCTGTCCCTGGCGGTCCCCACATCACTGTTTCCCGGCCCCTTCCAGGTCCCAGCCGTCGGTTCAAGCGAGTGGTGGAGACCATCCAGGCACAGCTGCTGAGCACTCACGACCAGCCCTCGGTGCAGGCCCTCGGTGCAGGCCTTGGCAGGTGGGTGCCGGCTGTCTGTCCATCCGTCTTCTGTCCCGTGGGGCGGAGGGCAGACTCCCAGCGACCATGGGCTGCAGCCTTTGGTTCGCAGGCGAGACCAGCTGTGGGGAAGCGAGGCCCGCCTGTCACCCCGTTGAGGCCTCACCCGCAGACCTGCGAGCGGGTTCCCTCTCCAGGCGTGGGCCTCACCGGGGAGCTTGTGTTCTGCGGTGCCCCAGGGGGCGGGGCTCCCCGGAGGCTAGCCTTGTTGTCAGGGAGCGGAATTCCCTAGCAACCAGGGGCCACCACAGCTCCTCAGTCAAGACAGCCCTGCTCAGCCCCACTCCTGAGATAGGTGGGAACGGGGTCCCTAGGCCCTAGTCCAGTGATGGTGAACCTATGACACGCGTGTCAGAGGCGAACTCATTTTTTTGGTTGATTTTTCTTTGTTCAATGGCATTTAAATATATAGAATAAATATCAAAAATATAAGTCTTTGTTTTGCTATGGTTGCAAATATCAAAACATTTCTATATGTGACACGGCACCAGAGTTAAGTCAGGGTTTTTCAAAATGCTGACACGCCGAGCTCAAAAGGTTCGCCATCACTGGCCTAGGGAGAAACAGAGCAGGTAGACAGGACCCCAGCCAGGGGGGCAGACGCCTGTGTGGCCTTGTCACTGGAGAAGCCCAAAGTCCAGGTTCATGTCTGCTGGAGAGTAGCAGTTCCAGCCTGGGGCCTGTTTCCCCAAGGTCAGAACTGTTCCCCAAGGTCAGAACCGAAGGGGCGACTCTCAGGGTGTCTGGAGGGCCAGGCCAGGCTCCCTCCTGGAGGCTGGAGGCCGGGGTATCCGTTCTGCCTCTAGAGGCCACAGGCCCGAGTTCCTTCGCTCACGGTCCCTCTGCACAGCTGGTGACGGGCCACCGCCCTGAAGGACACATGTTCCCTGGACGCTGCCCTCACCTGGGGAAGGTTCCTTCAAGGCTCCACCCAGAGGATCCAGAAGAACCGGCCACCGCTGGGCTTCGGCCTCAGTCACCGCCGGCGTCCCCTGTGCCTTGTAGTGTAACATGGTCCCAGTTCTCAGCAGGAGGAGCCGGACACCTTGGGAGGGGACATCCGGGGACATCCGGCAGTGTCTGGAGGGGGTGCGGGGTGCACAGGACACCCCCACAGCAAGGCGTTCTGACCTCCTGCTCCAGGAGTCCCCACCAGGCCTGGTTGCCCGGGGTGACCAGAATGCAGGCCAGGCCCCCTGAACCCTGCTAGCTAGACCCGGTTGCTAAGGAAAGCTGACCTTAGCAACCGGGGTTCCCCAAAGGGCACACCCTCAAAGAGGAAGGACCAACAGGCACCTGGGGGCTTAGCCCGGCATCTTATAAAGAGGAATGGGGCAGGGGGTGACCCCCAGTCCGCCGAACCGGGAGAGCCATCCTGGTTGCTATGACAACAAAACCCAACAATCAGAGACTTTTATGGGGGCCGGTCCCTGCTAGGGGACGTCAGGCACTGTTCTGGGCCCTATAGAAACTGGGAGTCTGGAGAAGTGTGGCCCCACAAAGGGGTGACCCCAGTCAGGCAAGCCCGCCTGGGGGGGCCTGAGACCCCCCAAACAACCTGTGGTAGGGGCTCCAAACCCTATGACCAAGGAGCGTCCCCCCAACCGCCAGGACAGTGGAAGGGAAGGGGGACCCTCTGGCTGTGACCTGGGGTGCTCTGATCTTATCTGTGGTCACACACTAGTGTCCCATCCAATCTCTGAGGCCACGAGGGTGGAGGGGGCCCGGACGCACGACCCGTTCTAGGGTTGGCAGGCCTGGCTCCTGGCGTGCGCCCCCCTAGCACCCGTGTTGGGGGCTCGGGCCTCCACCCGATGCTGGAGTCAGCCCGGCCGGCCTTGGGGCTGCTGAGGCCCTGGATGGCAAACCGCTTCCTCCCCGACAGACGAGAAGAACGGGGCGCAGACCCGGCCTGCCAGCACCCCGCCCCGAAGCCTGCAGCCCCCGCCCGGCCGCCCAGACCCGGAGCTGACCAGCTCTCCCCGCCGAGGCCCCCCCAAGGACAAGAAGCTCCTGGCCACCAACGGGACCCCTCTGCCCTGACCCCAGGGGGCCGGGGAAGGAGGGGAGCCCCCTCCACCCCCCTTCCCTGCCCCCCCAACTGTGAATCTGTAAATAGGGCCCAAGGAGTACATAGGGAGGGGGAGATACAACCAAGCCAGCCTCGCCCTGCAGGGATGGGGCTCCAGGGGCCGTGCCCAACGGGGAGGGGTGGTTCTGGGGGAGGGGGGTCCAGGGGGTGGGAGCTGTTTCTATTTTATTTATTGATTAATTTATTATTTTATTTATTGATCAACCTCTCTGCGGGATGGGGCGGGGGAGGGACGGGGGCTGGTTGGGGTGGCTTAGCAGATCCGGACGAACAGGGCCATCTGTCCTTGTGTCATCCCCAACTCCCCCTTCCTGGGCCCCCCCTCCCCCTGGCCCTCCCCCTCCCCCTCCCCCACGACCTTCTGTACGGATTTGCTCTCCGGAAGGAATTCTGGTTTCGCGTGATCCTGCCTGCGTCCGTGTCTCTGATTCCGCCGGCGGCAAAAAAAAAAAAAAAAAAATTAATAATAACAACAATAAATAGCCTTGATCAGGGACGGCTGGCTGGCCTTGGCCTCTCGCTTCCTGGGCGGCCCCGATGGCGGGGGCGGGGCCGCAGGGCAGGGGCGGCGGACGGGCAGGGAGATGCCAGCTCAGCAGCTGTTCGGAGCCCGGCCCCACATGTGCACCGCTCGGTCCCAGGCCGGGCAGCCATGGCACATTCTCTCTTTTGCTGTTGGCAGTCTTCACCCGAGGACATTTCTCCATTGCTTTTACGCAGAGTGGAAGGGAGGGGGGGGAGAGAGCGAAACATCGATGTGAGAGAGACACATCGACCAGTTGCCTCTCACGCTCGCCCAACTGGGGCCAGGCATCCGACCTGCAGCCCAGGTTCATGGTCTCGATCGGAATCAAACCGGCAACCCTTGGGTCCGGGGGCCGGCGCTCTAACCATTGAGCAACACTGGCTGGCGCCTGGCAAAGTCCTTTCAAGTCCATCCCAACGGTTCATCCCTGAGGGTTCGTCCCCAGCGATGCATCTTGGGGGCACGGAGGAGTCCGGGATCGGTCTCTGTCCTCTGCCGGAGGGCCGGGCCGGGGTCAGAGTGCCTGGGCCAGCGGCGGCAGCGGCGGCGGCGAGGTCTGCAGGGAGACGGGGGAGGCGGGCTGCAGGCTGAGGCTGGGCCCCGGCCGGAGACACAGGGTGCAGCCCTCCAGGCCGGAGAAGTCCACGGCCAGGAGGCCGAAGAGCAGGAAGAGCAGCATGGCCACGGCCCACTCGCAGACGGCGGCGGCGGAGCGCTGCAGGCTGGTGTGCAGGATGACCACTGTACCCCAGGGTCAAGGGCACTCCGCCACGAGAAGGGTCCTGGCGCCCCCGGAGGCCCCCAGACCGGGCAGGCGGGGCCGCGCCACCCTCCTGGGCGGCACCCAGACACTCGCCCAGGGGTGCCCTCCAGTCCTGCCTGCCTCTCAAACTGTTTCCCAAATATTTTCCCAGGCGGGTCCCTGCTGTTCCAAGGGGGCTCTCAATATTCTGGAACAAGGGTCTTAGCTCCGGTCAGCCTCCCTGAGCCCATGAAGGCTCCACCATCCCCCACTCGCCCAGGCAGGCAGCCAGGCACCTTGCTTCTACCTCCACATATGCCGCGTTTCCTAAAGATACACCCCCCCAGCCCGGCTCCACTGGCTCCGTGGCTAAGTGTGGACCTATGAACCAGGAGGTCACGGTTCGATTCCCGGTCAGAGCACATGCACGGGTTGCGGGCTTGATCCCCAGTGTGGGGCGTGCAGGAGGCAGCTGATCAATGATTCTCATCGTTGATGTTTCTATCTCTCTCCCTTCCTCTCTGAAATATATATATATATATTTTTAAATATATTTTATTGATTTTTCACAGAGAGGAAGGGAAGGGGATAGAGAGTTAGAAACATCGATGAGAGAGAAACATCGATCAGCTGCCTCTTGCATACCCCCGCCTGGGGATGTGCCGGCAACCAAGGTACATGCCCTTGACCGGAATCAAACCCGGGACCTTTCAGTCCGCAGGCCGATGCTCTATCCACTGAGCCAAACCGGTTTCGGCTATATATATATATTTTTAAAGCATCTGCAAGCTCTGAGAGCCATCTTTGCAGATGTCCCACCCTTAGCACACTCAGCTGGCCATCATTATGGTCCATCCTGCTTCCCTGCAGCTGAGGGGACGTCCGAGCCTCATAGAAGGAGGATCCTGCCACCAAACTGAGCATCAGCCGAGTGGGGATCTCGGCACCGACAGGGCCCAGCTGAGGAGAGCGGCTGGTTTGCAGCTGGAGCAGCCCTTTCCCACCTACTCCATGCAAACCAGGCTGCTGCTCCGGAAAACGAACGGATCAACTTCATGCAGCCGGCACCGGGCCTCAGCTGGGGCCCTCCGGTGTGGAGATCCAGCGCGCCCTCTCGGCCTCCCTTCCATCCTCCTCCCCACACAGGCCCACAGGCCCAGTCTGCGCCCCGCCTGCCTCTCTCAGAGCTCTCTTCCTGGCAGTGATAACCATCGGTCTGATAAAAAACAACTCCATCTTACGGACAAGGAAACTGAGGCGCAGGGAGTGCTGTGACTCAGCCCGAGGCCTGCTGGGCTGGGTTCCGGGGTGACTCAGAAGTGAGTTGGAATCGAGGTGCCACCTAGTGGCGTGTGGGTAAATGTCTGACAACCAGCTCTGATTTGTAGCGGCTGCCACTTCCTGTGGTGTAAATCCGCCCACCACCGCCATTCAAAGCGACTCACTGCCCGGGAGCGTCCCTGCGAGGGGCCTGAAGCCCAACACTCGCTCCACCCCTGAACTCCAGGCTGGGTCTTGGCCAAGAGACTCCTCCTGTCTGAACCTCAGTTTCCCGTCTTAGCCAGCATGATGCCGGGCCCAGAGCGGGTACCCCCCAAATGATCGATTTAGCAGCCTCCCAGGATTAACTGGTCGCTCGCTATGCGCCAGGCACCGATCCAAGCACCTCACATGTATCAGCTTCATTCCTTACAACCCTGAGTCTGCATTTGTCAGATGAGGAAACCTAGGCCATAAGAAGTTAAAAAAAAACAGCGGAGCCTCCCCCAGCTGTACGTGCACAAGGTGGGGTTGCAACCCAGGCAGCGTGGCCCCCCAGTCGGCCCTCTCTGATGACTGTCCTATGACAGGGCGCATCCACACTAGCACACAGCAGACCCCGCCCCCCCAATTTAGAACCACCCCAAGCCCCGCCCCTAAAGGATACTGGTCACCAAGAGGACGGTGCAGAGGCTGCAGAGGAGCAGGCGGAGCGGCCCGATCCACGGGGCCCCGGGCTGGGGCAGGCTCTTCATCCTCCAGGAGAGAAAGAGCTGCAGCCAGAAGTAGACATGGCCGACGAAGAGGGCCAAGAAGGCGCCCGTGAGGTGCGTGGCCAGCTGGTTCTTTTGCTGGAAGGAGGAGGAGCAGGGAGAGGTGAGGGGAAGACCCCTGCAGAGGCCAGGCCCCTGACCAACCCATGCACAGTGATTGACAACTGCCACGCCCAATGATCGGGTCCCTGAGTACAAGCATCAGCTGACCTCAGCTCTGGGAGGGCGGGCATTTACATCTGTCCTTCACCGCTGGGGCCTGAATCCCTAAAACAGTGCCTGGCTCAGAGCAGAGGCTCAGGTAGATGTTGGTGCAATAAATCTCTTCTTCTCACCCGGGGTTTGGGAGAGTAGGTGTTGCCGCCAAGGGGATAAAAATTGGTTTTTGGCCTTAACTGGTGTGGCTCAGTGGATAGAGCGTCAGTCTGCGGACTGAAGGGTCCCGGGTTCGATTCCGGTCAAGGGAACATGCCCGGGGTTATGGGCTGGATTTCCAGTAGGGGGCGTGCAGGAGGCAGCTAATCCATGATTCTCTCTCATCACTGATGTTTCTATCTCTCTCTCCCGCTCCCTTCCTCGCTGAAAATCAATTAAAAAAAATTTTAAAGCGAGAGAGAATGCGTGAATGAATAGATGTGCAGATATGATGGGGGACATTTGCTGGCAAGTTGGAGGGAGCCTTCGGTCCGACACCCTGTGGCTGGAGGCAGATACAGTGGGGCCTTGACTTACGAGTGTCCCGACTAACGAGTTTTTTGAGATACCAGCTGTCTCTCGGCCGATTTTTTGCTTTGAGTTGACTGAGTAATTTGAGTTAACGAGCTCCTTAATGAGCTCGGTCTCGGAACAAATTAAACTCGTAAGTCAAGGCCCCACTGTATTGTAAAATGAAATGATCACACTAAATCAATCAGTGGCATGTCTCCCATCACGTGTGCATTCGTTTATTCTGCAAAGATCTACGGAGCTTCGCGGTTAGCGACGTGCGTTCCAGAGTCTGTGAATCTGGGTTCATATCCGACCATGAAAAGCACCTCCCCGTGGAAGGACCCGCCTGGAGTCACGTGTGCAGAGAAGGTACAGCCTGGGGCAAACTCCGCCAACGTGGCAAACATCAGAATGGGTGACTATCAGTCCTTTCATCACCGACGCGGCGGAGGACGACAGGGTGCAACCTCCCAGGGTGCCGCGGAATCACTAGAAAGCGCCTTCCACGCGACGCTCCATTCAGACAGCCGCCCTAAGGAGTCACCCCGCACGCCCACGGCCCGAGAACCGCAAAGAAATACATGTCCCAGGAGGCTATGCGGCGCCGAGCCCCCCCGCAAAGAAGTAACTGGCCGCCCCGGAGGATGCTGGGAGTTGTAGTCCCAGACGGTGGCCGGCCGGACCCCAGGGCTGGGCTCCAGGAGCCGACTTGGACTCACCTGGAAATTGCCCACCACGGAGGTGCCGAAGGCACAGAGGAGCCCTGACCAGAGGATCAGCTGGTTAAACCACTTCCCGACGCCCCAGTCCCGGAACTGGTGGTAACGGAGAATGCAGATC